TCCTGGAACTGGCCCTGTACCTCTCTGAGCCTCAGTCTGTTCCTCTGAACAGTGGGGTGCCAAGAACACTGACCTCGTGGTACAAAAGGCCAGGCCTCTCATTCGACAGTCTCCCTTCCTTTTAGGGTAGTCTCTTCACTCCTTGCACTCACTTCAAAATCTACCTGGTTACATCCACAGCCAAGTCAGTGTGACAAGCCCCCATACGGAGAACGAAGGCCACCAGGTCAGGGCCTTGATAGAAAACCCAGAGCAAATGGAGGAGGCGAAGATGAGGTGGTCTGGGATGGGGGACTGGGACGGGGCTGAACATGCAGAGCAGATCTACCAGAAACGCGGCAGGGCAGGAACAATGAGAAGCAGAGCTGGCGTTGTCTGCATGCATTCTGGGGACACTTCCAAGGGTGGGTTTGTGTGGAGCTCTGTGAAAGGCAGTGGGAAGTATTTTGTCCCTGGAAGGAACATGGATAGTTTCTTGTCCTTTATTTCTCTTGCAGTTGCAGGGCCACCTCCAGTGCTTGTGAAGAGGGCTGCTCCACTTCCAGCATCTCTACCACCTGAGAGAGAGCTGGAGCTGGAAACACCTTAATGGCATCTCCAGGCCAGCAGTTCCTAGTGGCCCCTCAGCCAGCAACACGCATGGAGCACACCTTTACAACTGTTCCCACCCAGAGCTACACTTACCCTGCCCTGCCGATTCTTGTTTTCTTTTTATTTTATGTATTTCTATTTTGTTAAAATTGGTTTCTTTTAAAATTGAAGATTTTATTCATTTTAAAAAGATTCAGTTCATTGGCATTAAGTACATTCTCAAAACTCTGCACTAATCACCACTGTGTTGCTCAGGAACATTTGTCTATATTGGGTATCCATAACCACTCCCTCTCCCTCCCTCCCCCTAATCTGTGGCAATCCCTCATCATTCTAGCCCTGTGATATGCCTAGTCTGCCCTTTTCTTTTTTTAATTTTTTTTTTAGTTGTTGATGGACCTTTATTTATTTATGTGCGGTGCTGAGACTCAAACCCAGTGCCTCACACATGCTAAGCAAGCGCTTCACCACTGAGCCACAACCCCAGCCCTAGTCTGCACTTTTCAAATCAGTGCAGCCTCATTTCTCTTTGGTCACATAATGTTGGAAGGGACTAATGAAGTTTCCTTGTAGGGTAAATGCCACACAGGTCTAAG